AAAAATTATGGATGTGATGTCCAAATACAAAAACAGAAACATGAAACTCATCAGATTTATGTATATATGATGAAACGTCATCCTGAAATTAATGCACATAAGGGCATCTGAGATCTTCCTTGAGCAGAAAAGCCAGAATGTCGCAATATTATTCATACTGTGTTGGTGCCACGTAAATGTATAATTAATAAATTCCTAATGCAATGAATTCCATTCAAAGAGAATAATTCCGACTTTAAACGAACCATGATAATGATTTCACTTTCTTCGTACTAAAGATACATAAAATTTCTATCATTTGAGGAATGCTTTCCATGATATAGAGACAAACTGACGTCAAAATTGCTTTGAACATTAACACAAATCACTCAAAAAATAAACAGTTACATTTTTAATAGTTTGAATCATTTTTATAAACATGTCTTTCACTCATTAAAACTATGCTTTGCGTTTTTACTACCTTTTGTAAACACACGTAATAAATTAAACATAAATTATAAAGTCTTTCATATATAACTATTTTTATTGGAGGAAAAAAGCAATATTCAACATACATAACCAGTCTAAACACATTTCAACTAAATAATAGACAGTTTAACACATATAGGCAATACAACAATACAATATAACAATAAACTACCCATAAATAAATATGAAATATATTTATATAACAAAAAATATAAGATAACAAATATATAAGTTGAATGCATTCATATACATTGTATATACAAACGCAATCATTGCATGGACATTTCTATGTAAGGATGAACCCATTATGGTTTCTTCGTTTATTCATTTAAGCTAAACAAAATTAATACAACTCAAAGAGACTTTTCTGTTACTGTTCTGATTTTATTCCTTTTAATACTTCCTAGTTGACCTACATGGATTAAAAATAAGTATATTCATTTCATAAACAAGGAGGCCATTGACTGTACCAATCTTTAACCCAAAATAATAATTTGAACGGTAGATGTCAACTGAAGAATGCTTCATATCACATATATATATACACGTATATGTGTGTGTTCTTACCCTCGGGGTTTCAGAGAAGAAGCATTTTAAAATTTAACTATAAACATATAAAAACAATCCATGACACTAAGGGCTAGGCCATTTTAGACCTCAGGTACATAATTTAAACAACTTTGGTAGAGGACATCTAAATGATGGTAAATACACATAACAAAACGACACTCGGCCTTCTCTCTTTTGACTCGTTCTTTATTTGATTTGCATTTTTAAACCCTTTATGACCTTGTGACCTACTTAATTAATGCAAACGGTTGGAACTATTTGAACAATTTTAATTAGGACCCACCGACCGAAAATTCCCATGAAGTATATTTCTAAAGAAAATGTTGTTCAATGAAGGACGACGACCACTGGATATCACAGCGACGTTGTGCTCGGGTTAGCTAAAATGGCAAGTTCTTCGCTATATTAGTAGCGTGTGTCTTAATGCCGAAAAAATAGATTTAATCATATCACTTGATTTCCTATATATACATGATATTTAAAATAAAAACGGCTACATCAGTTTTTAATTAAGTTAAAATTTGAAAAGAAAAAAAAAATCCAATTTTTTTCCTAGATACTGGTTATAAAACTTGTGACGGTTGTAATGCTCTTTTCATTCATCTCGCAGTCATAAATTCCTTTCTGTGTCAGGAAAGCCATATCATGTATGCCGCCTAAACTTTTGAATTCCGGGGCAGTCAACACACGCTCGCTTGCCTGTGATGGAAGAGCGTGGATGTCTTTGTGGTGGAAGATAAGTAGTAATATCCTTCTGTTAACTGTGATCAAAGATAAAAAAAAACCTGCATTTGAAGGCAAAAACAGTTAAGGGTAAATAGAACATTCATTTTAAAGGTAACCTCGCTGACAACACTCTTCACTACAGAACATTTTCTTTAATAACAAATAAACTAGTCGTGTTTGTAGAAACTGGATCAAATGGAACCGTAAAGTGCTACAATAGCATATCAATAAAAGTGTATACCAATGTGAGCATTTATCAACAGCTGATTATCGTCTATTTCTTCACCCAGACAGTATAAACATTTGTTCTACTTTTTGTGCTAGAAATATATGACAAATCGTGTGTTTGAAGTGATACCTTTCCCGCGCGCATTTTTGAACTGCGTGAATGGGGTTTTAAGTACTAAATGAAAATATCAACTCGTTTTCGTAAATTCGTTCCGACAAACATATATGCAAGAGCGATTATCAAAGACTGACTGTCGTCACTCGCTATCGGGAAAGTGTTTCTCAGTAACTCTGCAGAGCCTTGTGACCACCACAAACAGTTACCCACTTTCTTGATATTCCGGTCTATACCGGCAGCTGGAGAATGTCAGACGTTTTTTAAGCACCGATTTAAACAGTAAAACTTTGTATGAGAAACCATTATAATATTTATGGTCTTATATATTTCATCATTGGCTTTATTTCATGGCATGATCAGTTGTGCCCTTGCAATGTTGATTTGTAATGTAATGACATTAAATGCCTTTGGTAGATATTTTTCTCCCCATTGAATTATATTTCGCTTACAGTGTAATTATAATCCTATTAACTGAACAATGAAACAATCTTATCTACTACAATGTTTTATTTCAAAAATCGTGAAATGCGTGCAACAAAATATACTTACAGTTCGTATCCAATCCTTGTATCGCATTAGCTGCGTCTGTTCCTATTCTAGATGCACAAATGGCAATAAGCAAAGTTGGCAATGAATTATTGACTTCCGAGGAGCTGTTGCACGTAATGAACTTTAACTCAGTTTTTCCGTCTTCTAATCGAGTTTTTAAAACTTTCTTAAGGTCTTCTTCTACCTCTGCAATAAGGCCACCACGTCGTTGATAAAACAACTGAACTGTAAGTAAAGCCAAGTGGCTAGTTAAATAATTTTTAAAAGCAAAAACGAAAACAACAACAACAAAATAAAAATAATAATAATAATGGAAAGAAAGATTCTGTGTAAGAATTAAATTGTTAAAATGGATGAAGATACAAGATACAACTATTCTTTTGTGTATTTGAAATATTATATGTTTTAAAGTACATACTAGTTCATACCTTGTAAAACTTTTTTGCACTTGAAACTTTCCAGTTCAACCCTTAGTTCCTCAGCCACATTTCTTTCGTCATTCAAATCAGATTTTAATTGTTCATTGTCACTTTTAAGTCTTTCTATTTGTGTCTTCCCGTCTCTAATGTCTGTAAGTAATTGTTCTTTTTCAGCATCCATTTGTTCGTGTATTTGCTTTTTAAACTCTTGCTTAATGTTACTGACTTGATTTCGCAACTTTTCATTTTCTTTCTCTTTTTTATCATTCAATTCATATAGAGCTGACTTTTCAGCTAGTATCTTTTTCTTTTCTTTTACAAAGTCGTCCTCTCTTTTCTGTGATAGAGCTAACTGTTCCTTTAACATATTTTGTTTATCTTGTAACTTTTTCAATTCAACTTGTACAACATTGTCCTTGAAAAAATTCTCAAAGGAAGGATCGTCTTTGTACTCGTCAACTTGGAGTGCCTTAGGCGTAAACTTGGCGTGTTCCTTCGCTAAATCGTTGATAATTCTCAACAGTTTTCGCAATTTTTGAAGTGTATCGTTTTTTCTACAGGAAATTGATTCCTGAAAAAATATATTGATACTCTAAAACCAATTATATCATATTAATCCGAAAAAATACTGTTACGTATATTCTTAATTAAATACTGAAGAATTGCAAAAGTTAAAGAATACATGTATAATTATGTATGTAAATGTATACATATTTCAAGTGTTAGTGGCAACGCCACTAGTCCGTTACCGAAATGCAACCAATAAAGTCTTCATATAAAAGCGATGATATATAAGTAACGTTTATGGAGGTAGCTCCTAAATCAGTTGTTATTTAGAACAGTAATAATTTTTGGAAAGGGAGGTTTTCGGAATATGGCAACTAAGAAACAATGCACAATTATAGTACTTTATTGTGAGTAATACTTGGGTTAATAGCATCAGTTGTTACGTGACCTCGGAAAGAATATTAACGGTGCAACTATTTTAAACTTACTCTCCATTTTAAGAGCCACTAGAGCCAATGTTGAATGATAACTTCAAGATCTGCACGTATTCCGCTTATAATAGAGGAGTATTTCACCTTCATTTACGAATTTAAGCCCAAGACCGCAGCGCAAGGATTTAATAACCGAGAGGGATGTTTATGCACGAAGAAGTTCATTAGCGCTGTTCTTACATAAATGTATTCATATGACTTTTTAATTCGTTGTTTTGTTATTTGTTTTCAACTTCGTCATCCTTTTACGTGCGACTTCGATGCCATCAAACATTTTATGATAAAAACACAGGGGCCGTCAATACAGTAAGTTATTTTCACATGATCGCATAATCTCCATGGTATCGTATCGATTTATTCAGGGAATAGACATATACACATACAATATCATCACATATATCAACTTGCATATATATAAAAGCACACACATAAATGCAACAAAAATAATTATAAGATTAATTAATGAGTATGTTCTATGTAACCCTAGGATTGCCCATTAAGCTAAAAGCTTATTTCCAATGGGGGATCCATTTACTGTTAAATTATTACACTAACTTACATAATAATAAATGAATTATAAAGAAGTTAAAATAAATGACAATTTTCAACAATCAAACACATTTTTCAATATAAAAAGACAAGTACATTGTACACAAACAAAATGAAATAAATTTCGTTTAAACTAAAACATATCAAGTACAACATAAACATGTTACAAAACCATATCATAAGTTACACATCAATTTAATAATAAATAAACATATTATTCACTTGTTTATCATTTTCATTACTTAAAAAAAGTTTTACTTTCGTTTTAAATGTTTGGATATTGTCAATTGATCTAATGTTGTCTGATAAAGAATTCCAGTCTTTTATGGCATTGTAGAAAAATGTATTTTTAACATAAGAATCATTTTGAGGCAAAACGAAATTAAAATTACTAGATCTTAAATTGGATATTCTACAAACCTTAAACAATTCCTTTAAATAAGAAGGGCTTTTGTTGTAATAAACTTTATGAATGTGGTTGAGTATTAACTGTCTAACTCTATCATTGACATTTAATAATTTAAGATCGGACAGAACCTTATTTGTCACCGAAGTTCTAGGAGTATAGTCTTTTATAAAGCGCACAACCTAATTTTCAGCTACTTGAAGTTTAAAAAATAGTAGTTGAAAAAATATGTATAGACATATTTACGTTATATATGACTTTACATAAAAATGTAACTGTTTAACCGCAGTTTCACCAATCAGCAACGATTATGTTCATTTTCATTAATAAATTACGGGTTTCTTTACTATAAGCTTTAATTAACCATGAACTTTGCGCAATAATAAGTAACCAATATTATGTTCTTAAAGATACTTTCCATTTTAAAACCATGTGATCTTAACGCAATAAAACACATATGCAATTATAATGAATACAATATCTAAACATTGTCTTAGAAATTGAAAATTAAAATAAACAATATGGGTTCAGAAATTATTACCTCAATGCAGCACAAAACATCCTTTGTTAGTTTTTTTTCAATGGTATCTTTTGAAAGTTTCATGTCGCCGAAAATTATGCTTTCTTTTGAGTCAGATACTGTCGCCGTTTCATCTAAAATGTAAAATCATTGTTTGTTCAAATACATAGATATATGATGGTACTTTGTGTAAGTACAATTCATATTCGTTTTGGAAATGTCAAAGTAAATCTAGTGTTTAGTCGCTTCTATTGTGTAATAATAACAAATTGGCAAACCAAAAGCACCAAATTAATATTAATTGCGTCTATCTTGCTTTATTATGTGGAAACTTGGATAATGTATCGGGATGGTATAATATAAAACGGGGAATACATAAAAGTTTTCTTAAGAAAGTCTGTTTACATAACTACACCGTTACGGGATATATACACTCTCTTTATTATATCTTTAATTGTATGGAACAGGGCACTTATTTCTATATCATTTTCAGTTTCAAACAGTGTGATTCGGCTTATACCCATTGTCGGTTACCCGCGTTATATATTCCGTACATACTACATTATCTACTGTGGGATATTCAACTGGCAAAACCTCGTTTTCATGAATATCAATGAAATACCTTACTGGGAAAAAGAAATAAATACAAAGCTGCTTACTTGATGAGTGGTAGAATGCAATCACCCTAAGTGTCGCCGTCATCATATCAAGACTCTTTAAAAAGCTCAACATTGCCTCGTCTAACTCTTCTACACGTTCCTAGAATGTATGGACAATTTAACTTACTAAAGTAATGAATTGTTTGTCTGTCTGTATTTCTTTATTCTGTAAAGGGTGTCTGTTATTACTAACAACATTCAGATTTCTTCCTGAACACAACAATTATTTTACTGTTACAATAAAATGTCAGCCGGACCAAAAATGGTAGTTTTTATTGCGACGGAAGAAGTTTAAAAAATTTGGAAAGCGCAAATTTATGTGCACCAAGAAGACGTTTAATAAGTTTAACAACCATTATACTAACGTTGTCCGGTAATATTTGGTCAGAGACTCTTGTACTGAAGGCAACCAGTTTGAGGTTTTAATAGTTTTTTTCAATATCTTTACCTTTAAACGGCACTTTAATCTTATTAGATGATTTAATCAAAGTAAATGACAAGATTATAAATTTAAATCTAGTTTTAGATCAATATAAAATAAACCTGTATAAGAGCTATTGTTAACAGAACATAGCTTACCAAACATGGCTCCAAAATGGCTTTTACTTTTGATGTATTTCCACCCATCCTAACATTTGTAACATCTACTATCTAAACAATTTTGTCCTTGCTGAGTTCTCGAAATTAAATTCCAGCAAATTAATAGTACATATTTAACAAATAGTACATATTCAACAATCTGAAAACAAATGAAGAAAGACAATACAAGGCGGTTCATATCTTATTTTCTTCAATATTTTTTTTTAATATTTCATTACTTTCAACTAGTTAGTAACACGTATGTAATAGGGGAAACGTTCAGTATTTTTTACGGACAGAGAAACGCACATTGAAATATTCTCGTGGTTTCAATTTACGAAAAAACGAATTCCAAGAAACATTCTTTTCATACAGTCCTCACCGGAATTAGTTGGCTCTTCAATTTTTCCTATAATATATTGAAATAATTGAAAACGTTATGGCTAATAATAAAGCATAGACCATCTGTTTTATTGGTTTTTCACAAAAAGTTTGTTGCTATAAAGACCCTCATTTTGATAGATATATATGTAGATCTATCTAATATATTAAAAACAATATGACGCGCCATTACAAATAGGTGAATTATTAACCAATCAACGTTGACGTTACATCATAACCGTAGTTCACCACCACGGAAAGTAACCACTGGGCGGGGGGGGGGGGGGATAGCTCGCTGGCATGCATCCACATCGTTATCTAATTCGCTGTAGAAAGTCTCGAAACCGAAAGTGAAATCATTCTTAGAAAGCGTTCTTAGAACATTGTTTTAGTTTGAATATAACAAAATAGATCACAAAAGCAATAACAAAATATAACTACGAAATGTTATATGAATAATAGTATCGTACGTTAACAATCAAAGATTTATTAATCATTATTATCAATCAGTAAGAAATATAAAATCAACCAAGCAAATGTTTGCGGCAGTATGTACATCAATCAAGATGACACACACGGTTAATTGTTAGAAACAAATGTCATTATATATATATATCAACATTGTAAAAAATATATACTAAAAACTCATTCTTTGTTAATCTTCTGTTGGTTTTCGTTTTTAAAACGAAAAGGTTTCGGTTAAAACACATTTCCGTTTGATTAAAATACTACTATTGTTTAAATCGTACTTTAACACGTCTATATATGTTTAATTTAGGACATAATCTAGTAGATAAGTTCACATCTGATTTACTAGATTGATTAGCCAATTTGCCGATTTACCAAAATAAATGTGTTACGATTGATCTGAAATACTGCAATCCTATCGGACACAAATAATTTCAAACACTTACAATAGGTAAAAGTAAATACAAAAATATAATGTTAAAATTATTGTGTACCTTTTCAATATACCGTCCTTTGTCTACCTCGTTTATTTAGGATTTCCCCATGTCTGACTTTCTATTTTGTAATCTAAAAATAGATTTATTTGTAAATTCTATAAATACACGCTACTTTCGTTTTGAAGGTGTTTTCTGAATATCTGCATTTTTCTATCATATTAAAACGGTGCGCATGTATATGTATACATGTGTACATGTATATTCAAGTCTGAAAAAGTTTGTTGTTCATTTTCAATGAGAGTTAAATAATGATATACCAAAATGTAAGCATTTAACAGTAACCACTGTTAAAATAAGCAGTTATATATCACTGGGAAGGAACTGTTACACGAATGATGGAGTTCTTATGATTCTTGAAATAACTGTCAAAGAGTTGGTCGAAAAACTTTTCTTTTTACTACAAAAACACTCGTAAAAAATGTTAATTTTAATTTTTAAAAAGTGAGTTTGAGGAACTTAATTAAACTCAAATGGCTAAGCTTGCCTTACATCTTGAATAATGTGTCAAAAACTAATTCATTGCCTCGTGTTTAAAATCTGGTAGTTTTGAGAAAATGTTCCAAATATTTTGCCATCGCACGTATTGGTCTGTTTATTTCTGGTCTTCAGCCATGCTTTACATAATTATTATGCAAATTGCAAACATAAAGCCCCGGCTAACAAATTTATACCTGTTTTTTTTTTTCCAAATGTCACGGAGTTCTCGTGATAACTCTGAAGATGTCACCGATTTCTTGCGATATCTTTTGTTACGCAGATTTCGAAGATCTGAAAATGGATTGATGTAGATCATTGACTTCTGTGATAAGATGTGCTTTGAAATCGATACTCAATATTAAACATGAAGTGGTATACTTTAGATTTTTTAACATCATATGGCGGTTATCATAGAACCTTCAATGTGACACGTTATTACCATTCAATGAAAAGCGGCATATTACCCCCAGGTTAAAAATTGCGTGTGTCCTAAAAGAGAATGCAATAAGTGAAACTATATAAAACGACATTTTGAGAGGGGATCGGAGGTTATGAAGCCTGCATACCACAGATAAGCTGCCAAAAGACACAGTTAAAAAGCAGACAACATACCATAAGGGTGATAAACAGTATTCAAGTGAGAAATACTGCAACCATAAAACTTTTTTTAAGTTGAAATTTCCATCTACAATAAATTAAATGTATTTTGTAACTATTTAAAAAGGGTTTGTTATACTTTTGGTTTTCTTGGATTTTAAGTTTCACCGACACTGAGGTCATGTGAAAGCATTCCCTTTGTGAAACATTTCTGACACAAGCAGGCATCTGACTAGAACCACCAATATTCCGTTAACTAGCTTGATAGTTTCCTCACATAGAAAAAATCCAACGTCATGACGGGATTTCAACCACAGCAGTAAAGAAAAGATGATTTAAAGTCGGCGACATCCCGACTCTGTCACTATTATGCACCTCCACCAGGCTCACTGGAAAAGATATTGAAATTGTCTGACCCTAATGTATTCTCTGTAACTGACCTTAATTTATACTCTGTAACTTTCAATATAATTTGCTTTTTGAGAAACATGAACATTTCTGTAGAGAATGTCTGAAATAAAAACGACTTTTAATTTAATAATGACAAAATAATCTTCACTTCAACAGAGAAGCATTCGAAATGACACGAGGGTCATTATTTGATTTGAATGCTTTTTGGCACGAGATGAGAAGGATTTTGAAACATTGTCTTTTTTAAAATCTATATATATTTTTTTTGCATCCCAGATTGCAACCGACACCATTTGAACAACTTTGGTAGTAATTCATGTAAATTTCATCAAATTTGGTCATAGAGAATAATAGGTTGGTGCTGTGGATGGAGAAAGTTCATATGGCGAGGCGGAGGAATTTATTGGGTTCGCCTTCGGCTCACCCAATAAATACCTCCGCTTCGCCAGATTCGGCTAACCCAATAAATTCCTCCGCCTCGCCAGATAAACTTTCTCCATCCACGGCACCAATCTATTATTCTATTTATCCTGTCACCGTTTTTTTTTAAAGAATTTTTATTAGGCAAACTACCTTTAATTTTGAGCAGAGTTATATCCCTTCCTTGTGACGTTGATTTAGTAATATTTGGCCTTTGCGCGGTAAAAAATAGTGCTTAGCATTCTGATATATTTTAAAAGCAAAAATTAATGTAAAACCAGTCGGTAAACTATTCTATCTTTTATTTTTATCCTGTCACTTGTATCAATTTCGGCCCGATAACAAATTGCCGTATATTTTTAGTATCTCTTTCTTGAATTTCTTTATTTAAAACTGCTAAATCTACCTGAAGTTCATCGTTTATGTTCGTTAACTCTTTCATTTCTTCTCCAATATCATCTGATTCGGGATCCACACTATATCCTGATTCGTCTCCTGATTCTACTGTTGTTTTCTCAGGACCCTTGACCTTTTGTTTCTTTTGAAAGTCAGTAAGATATCTATCTATACTTAAATTTTTGTATAACTTTTAATTGTTGCATAAACGGTTTAAACTCCTGTTTTTCTCTGATCAGTTGCATAAACGAACTAACTCCTTGCAATGATGAAAACTTCTGATTGTACAATGAGGTCTGTATGACTTAAAAAAACAACAACAACATATTATAATTATGTATGGGAATAATTTCAAATGCATGTACTCGTATATGGCATTAAAGCAGAAAAAAGACTTTTGTACGAAGACTTAATATCGCTCATCTTGAATAAATTTATTCACTGTAAGAAAACTCTTACTTTTTGCAAAACATGATTTCTAAGTATTTGTCAACTATACATGTACTATACGTGCCAGATAAAAAAATGACCAAAAAAGGAAACACACAAAAAAAAACAAACAATAGATACTGATATAAAACTGAAATACAAATTCGTGTTTAAAGTATCAGATAGTGTATTTACCTCAATTACCTCAAGTAATTCCTTAGTCAAACATACAGCCCTCTGCTTTCCCTCTATATTTTAGACACTAAAAATAAAAAATCATTTTAAAATAATAAATTCATTTCAATATACATATTAATTTCAAATTACATGTAACTATCATTGTAACAGAATTTATATAACCTCAAACACGTGGTGAAAGGATCATAAGAAAATTCTGAATCGATCCTGCTTCAAAAAGTTTCCAAAGACCTAAACTTTGTTTTAGCTAATCATCAAGCTATTTACTTTCTAAAACCGCAAAAGCTCAACTGACATGTAACATGTAATCATGTACGTTCACGGTGATAAGGGATTTAAATTCTAGAACTGAAAAATTAACTTTCTTGTATATTACAATTATATTCCATTTCAAAATTATAAGTATCTCGACATCTTAAATATAACATATTAACTACCAGTACAGATGTCCCAGATTTTTGATAATTCAGTGCGATGACGACAATGCGACAGTGCGATGACGACAATGCGACAGTGCGATGACGACAATGCGATGACGACAATGCGACAGTACAATGACGACAATGCGACAGTGCGATGACGACAATGCGACAGTGCGATGGCGACAATGCGATAACGCGATAGCACGATGACGACAGAGCGACAGTGTTATCGCACTGTCGCCATCGCACTGTCGCATTGTCCTCATCGCACTGTCGCATTGTCGTACTGTCGTCATCGCATTGTCGAACTGTCGCCATCGCATTGTCGCACTGTCGTCATCGAGTTATCGCATTGTCGACTCTCCCCTTCTAGTGGACCGTTCTAAACTGCTGGCGAATAAGCTGATGGTATAGAATATGGGATAAATTTACTTTTGTCAATAAATCTTTTTCTTCTTGTTTTTTCGTTTCCTTTTTCTTTTTTTGTTTCTTTCTTTTCTGAATACTAATAATGTTTAATTAAAATTATAAATTAATAATAAGAAATATTTTATATATAAATACTAAAGGAGTTATACATAGACGGAAAATATAATAACTTGTGTGAAACTTTAATATACAATGTAATAGAAATAAAATAAAAATCATTGCTTATTAATTGTATAAAAAAAAACAAACAAGTTATATTGATAATTTCATCGAATTCGTCATCAGTGGTTTTATTGTTTTGTAAGATGTATAATTTATTTATAATTAATTTTAATTATATTACTAACATTGTAAATAAAGATACATGTAATTAGAAATTTACGTCAACACATATTTTTTTCTATATATCTAACATAAGTGGTCAACAATTTTCACTTTAAGATTAACTTAACAGCAGATCCTACTATACTGTAAGTTTAACTGGTCAGCATATTGTACTATAGCCAACTGATTCCGCTGGTGGACATAGTGAGACAATGTGTTTCAATGTTGAAAAACACATATATCCATTATATTTATTCCGGAAAAATTCTTACTGTTTATTTTTGTTGTTTTTTGTAGTTGTTTTTAAGGGAAACATGCAAAGTTCGAATAACCAACTACCTGCCGGTAGGTAGTAGGAAATTAGGAGTAACCAACTACCTATCAAATTGACGCTTCTTTAGATTTTTATCAATATCTAAGATGGAGCCATTTGGTGCTTGGTGAACATAGCGCTTTTATATTTCCTAAAAATAGTAAATTAATATGATTAAATAAAAAAATATATTAAAGATATAGTAGATTTCTGTGTCCACTTGTTTTATATATAGCCAAAGTGATTTTAGTTCAACCTTGAGAAACTGCTTATGAACAGAGAAAAATGATATTTGCAGTGAAGTACTTATTTATTTTGCAATGTTAGTAGAAATTGGTTTATTGTCTTTGTCATATTTTGTTCTTATACTCTATGGTCAGCAGACTTAACGGACGGTGCTTTAGGTACACATGTATAGTAGAATCTGCTGACCAGTTAACCCATTACCGCATAAGCATTTTGTGAAAAACAGCTGTTTTCATTAAAAAAAAAACCCCTGTTACACAAGTTCAAATTGCTATGAAACTATAACGTCGGTGGTTCTACTCAGGTACCCGTTCGTGCCCGAAATAATGCACGGACGGGCACCTGAGGTCTTCCTCCACCAGTAAAGCTGGAACGTCGCCATATGACCTATACTGTTTCGGTGTGACGTAAAACCCAATCAATCAATCAACTATGAAACTATAAAAATGCATTAATACTGATCAAACTTGGCACAAATGTTTACTAAGCCAACGCATGCGTATCTTGATTTCCTGTTACCATGACAACGAAGGGACATTTTAAAATCATTATATTGTGTTAATTATTTCCATCAAAGCTGCAGCTTCCCGATGGGTCGGGATAGAGCGTTGATTACACGTTACCCTTAAGATCGACCTGATGCCATTTTAAGCCTCTCACAAGTTCAAATTTTTCTTGGAGTTGAGTGGGGGGGGCAGTCCCCTTTCAAATCCCCCTGCAGAAGAGGGCACCTCCCTCTCTTACACCCCGATGTATCTGATAAATAGGGCATGGTTTTCACTATTTGAGACGTCAAAAGGGAGGGTGAAAAGGCGTAAAAACACGTCTATATGAGGTAAAAGGTAAAACATATAGTAATATATGTTGACCAGTTATACTTACAGGGAAAACAGTTGACCAATTAGATATCTAGAGAAATATGTTATTTTGCCAGCATAATGTTAGTAAATATAATAGATTCTACATCTCGCAAACCAATCAAACCACTGCTGAGAAACTAAAATATAAATAATAAAATAAAATAAATTGCTTGTGTGGTTTTTGCCGTATTTTCTTCTTATTCTATATGGTTAGAAGAGTTAACGTCTTCCCAAAAACTGCTGACCACATAAACGTAAGTAGAATCTGCAGACCAGTCAAACATATAGAAGAATCTGCTGACCTACAGTTAAACTTATAGTGAAAATTGCTGACCACTTATATTAGATATACAGAGAAAATTAAGTTTAACATACATTTCTTATTGTTTACCACTGTAAGTAAATATAATAAGCCACCGATGACCAATCAAAAATATAATAAAAAAAGCAGTATTTTTTATATTAAACAAAGCCGACCCGGTCACATATTCACGGATAATGCCACGGAAGAGCTACGGTCTAATCGTTCACGGATTACTACGGAAATGTGAAATTCCGTAGTCCGCTACGGTTCCAGTACGGACACACAACGGTATAAGTACGGAGTCCGACGGATTTACCACCAAAATCCCCCGGAGAGACACGGATTGTTACGGACCGACACGGTTTGATGCGGAGCGGCACGAATTAGGACGGCCGCACTACGGATACACTACGGTCTGCTACGGTATAAGCACGGGTTAGTACGAATAAGTACGGTCTGATACGGAGAAGAACGAATTGATACGGAGAAGAACGAATTGCCACGGATCTATACGGACCTAATACATCCGTCCACAATCTCTTGCATAAATGCCCCACAAGAAAAGAACACCTGGAAAACGAATTGCAGAGTTTAATGATTTTGGCGGAGAGGATTCGGCCTGATCGCGTCTGACCCCCGAGACACATCAGGTCCGATAAAAGTGAATTTCTTGAAGGACGCTGGGTCCTCAACAAGTTCGGCCATGAGAGCCTCATACTAAACATGAAGTCTTCGTAAAAGCCCATCTCCAGTCCACCATCTTGCCTGTCCTCTCTTACCTGATTAGATATGGACTAGTAATCATTAAAAAAAGTGTTGATCAAAACTGCTTCTCTTTTAATTTTAAAATGTGCCGTTTTTTTACAATAATATTTATTATCGTGAATGTTTATGTTTTAAAAATATGTAAGAAGCTTGTTAATTAATCTTCTTATAACTCAAGGGTCAGTGTCCAAGGCTTATGAGACACTTCGTTTTATGTACATATTTACTCAAATTTCACGATCCAATGTTTGTAAAATGTGTAACATTAAATGTTATTACTCTATTACTTAAGAATTGTAGTACGATATTAATATATTTTACCTCTATGCATGTCATCTAGAAGCTCGACCACTGCCTGCGCATTCTTAGCCATTTCAATATAAAATTGCAGCCAGTAAAAGGCAATTATCATTTATTGAATGTTCCCGCAAATATGTCTGTTTTTAACAAGAAGGTAGTACCCTTGGAAAGTACATGATACTTAATTCATCCGTTCTAAACAGTGGTGGACCGTACAAGTCCGTGTTGCAACGCAATCAACCGTATAAGACCGTGCTAATCCCTGCTTCTCCGTAGTACAACGTATTACGATCGTGGCTTTCCGTATTAATCCGTATTAAAACCGTAGCTTAAACGTAGGTTATCCGTACCAAACCGTGGAAATCCTTGACAAGTTGGTGGGCTACGAATCAGTACGGACTAGTACGGTTTTCGTACGGACCAGTAAGTATCGGTACGTTTTAATACGGACTAGCAGGGATACGCTACGGTTTATTTTTCCGTAGCAAATTTTTGTGCATGTTCAAAAATTGTCAAGGATCGCTACGGATATACCAGGACTACTACGATTGATTACGGTTACAATACGGAGAGCTACTGACCAGTACGGGTAGCTACGACGATGCCGGAATTAATCCGTGGCTCTTCCGTGGGCGTATTCCGTGAATATGTGACCGGGGTATTAGATTTATTATGAACTATATTTAGAATTGCAGAGAAAACTTATGAATTAGAAATGAAATGCGTATTTTCATTTACACTGTAAAATTTGTTATTGACTGCAGTGAAACATATTTTCAGTATTTTCCGGATTACTTTTTTCTAGATTCAGCCGATATACAAAATTTAAGGCTAAGCCTATCAAATTGTATCAGTAATGTCAAAAATAGAAAAAAGTACATGTATATAATAATAGCGCAACTCATAAATAATTATTTTCACACCATTCGATAAATATAAATCCTGTATTTGTAAAAAGAAAAATTGAATATCCTCTATGTGCTACTGGCGCATTAAATATTTTTTGCATCTTTTAAATGTCAACATAACATTATTTCATCTGAAATCTTTCGACTTTTTTAAAGTTTCACACAGTTTATTACATTTTCCTGTATTTCCCCTATCCCCTATCTTAGAATTAAATTCAATTAAAGTGTCGATTTTGGCAATATTGTCCCCTACTTTTTATAAATTTATAATTTTATTGAGACGTTTTCAGTATACAAAAAAAAGAAACAAAAACAAACAAAAAAGAAAGAAAACAACAAAAAAAAAACAAGAAGAAAAAAATCTATTGACAAAAGTAAAATTATTTTCACATATTCTATACCGTCAGCTTATTCGTCAGCAGTTTATAATTGTCCATCGGAACGCGATAGTCGACAATGCGATAACGCGATGACGACAATACGATAGTGCGATGGCGACAGTGCGATAATGCGACAGTGCGATAGTGCGATGACGAAAATGCGATAGTGCGATGGCGACAGTACGATAGTACGATGGCGACAACGCGATAGCATTATCGCACTATCGTATTGTCGCCATCACATTATCGCACTGTCGTCATCGCGTTATCGCACTGACGCCATCGCATTATCGCACTGTCGCCATCGCACTTTCGTATTGTCGCATAATCGTACTGTCGTCATCGCATTGTCGCATTGTCGTCATCGTACTATCGCACTGTCGTCATCGCACTGTCGTATTGTCGCCATCGCGCTATCGCACTGTCGCATTGTCGCCCTCTGGATTGGAAGTCTAACCACGATGACCCTCTCGGTATTCCGTACAAGGTAGTGTTGTTTTTTGGGTCATCTCAGATGAAAAACTAGGTCACAGGAGCTAATGGCTACTGTTTTAATCCAAATATCATTGAAATTGGTCTGAGAATTTGCTTTGATAATTTATAGGTCAAGCTTGAATATGGGTCACCTGGGGTCAAACACTAGGTCACACCGCCCAAATATAGAAAAACTTTGTGAACATGCTGGTAGTTAGATTTTTGACTCAATTGTCATCAAACTTGGTCAAGATGCTTGTCTATGTAATTGCATGGATGAGTTCGAACATTGGTCATTTCGGATTAAAAACTACGTCACTGGAGCTAAAAATAGAAAAAAAATTTTTTTGATGATTTTTAGTTCAAGTTCGAATATGGGTCATCTGGGGTCAAAAACTAGGTCACATTGCTCAAATATGTAAAAACCTTGTTAACACTCTAGAGGTCACATTTTTTACTCTTGGTCAGGATGCATGTCAAGGTTATTGCTCGGTTACGTTCGATTGCTCAGGTGAGCGATCTAGGGCCACTTTGGCCCTCTTGTTGTAAAATTCAGTCTTCGTTTTCTTTCTTTTTTGTATATTTTTACTTTGCTGAGAGCACAATTTAAGTCTTTCTCTGAACCAGAACAAACAACAAAATTATAGACTATTTAATAGTCTATAAATGATATCAAGAATAGATAAATATTATCTGGTTTCCCATTGTAACGAATTGATATCTTATCATACCTGTCATTAATGTATATGTATTGATCATGACACCTGAATCTGTTTTAGATTGCTTTACAACAGTATCTAATCATTTGTAATACTTACACTCATTTGTGAAGATTAGAGTCATTTTCGAAATTGAATGTTGTAAAATATTCAAAAGAATTACTGTGAAAATTAAGACTTAAAGCATGTAAACTTAAGGGTGTAATATGCCGCCTTGACATTATATCACATATGATTGAAAGAAACTAATGTAACAGTTGTTATAGATCTCATCAAATGTACAAATGTACACGAACATGTTTTTTTGTTTTTGTTTTTTTTGTTGTTTTGTTGTTTTTTTTTTGCTGCCGTCGGTGTTTGCCACTGCGGTACTCAAAAATTTATTAATAATAATATAATATAAGATCATGAATCATTTCAATCTTTTTTACAATATGAGTACTTTCAACTGCGTCGTGGGTTCAAGCGAAGTTTGCAGGCTCATTAAACAATATTTAAGAAGATTAAACATTAGCTATATTGTTTAGGAAGTAGTTTATTTCAAGGAAATAAAATCCAAAATCACCTGCAGTGATTTTTTTATAAATGAAAGATGAGAATTAAAATTCTACTCTCTTTTTCTAAAAATAGATGATTATATTTATACATGTAAAATCGAAAACAAAGTGCGTAGAGAATACCAAAATGGTAATGTAATCGTGTACATAATCGTTTAAATATTTTATTCAGATATTTCTTTGAAGGAATATTAATTTACTTCCAACGTTATCGATGGAGAAATCGGATCAGCATGCATTTTTTTATTTTGTAAATTGACTTAAAGATCAACAGTATGTAAGTTTACCGTCTGGAACGGTTATTTATATCTTGCAATTGAAATCGAAAGTAGGAATTCCCTTATTTTCCAATAATTATTAATTTGAAAATAACTGTAAAATACGTATACAGATAACGATACGGGAGAATTTATTACAAAAGCAAGATCGTTTAGCTATAAACAAAAATGGGAAACAAAATAGCCTCACGTAATGAAAAAAATGTGAGTTCGAAATCGGAGGAGGAAGAAGTGGCGGAATTACAGCGTCGTGTAAACCTTGTCATCGTAAGTGTTAAAGATTACAAAAATTATCTGTAACAGCAACTTAAACCTTGGTAAAATTTAGTACATAGTAAACACAATTTCGAGGGAGGGTGTGTACAAAATTGTATCTTCTTTACATAATGAAATGAAATTAGATACGGAGACACTACTTCTCCATTAAAAGCTTTTTGATGAAGGGATAATATTTTTACATTTTAGGACCTTTTATCAAACATATGGTGGCATAAAGGGGTCTTAGGAAGTGAGTGGCTACCATAATATGCCCCGCGATATGTTTTACGTACTATAAATAAACATACTTTAGTGTGGTATAAATTGCAATTAGTCAGAGTGGATGTGACTAAAACTACGCGGTGACGTATTACCTATAGCGTACAAGCTATCGCATGCATGCGTAGTAAATAAAATATTTTCTATGCCCCATATAGAAACATAGCTACAAAGGTCATATTAATTAGCATTCTATTTTAGAACAGATTAAATCATACATCTGTAGAATCAGTATTATTTACATCCACCAGGATATGTTTGAATGTACATTTTAGTATGTTATGGCAAGAGCAATAAATGCGAATAATGTGGTTTTGATTTTCATTCATCTAAAGACCTGACAATACATTGCAAAACTGTACATTTAAGTAACATATGCATACAATTTTATGTTTATAAAAAAGTATGTTTAGTACATGCTTATGTAATTAATTACTGTTTAATATGGTTTCTTCATCTGCAATCTGTGCGAGCAGAGCATTAAAATTTAGTAAGTGGTTTATTTCTCTCATACTACATAACAAGACGTTGTATTTCTCTATTTTTGCAAGCATTTTACTGTTAAATAATATTTTTGTTCGTGCTCGTGTTGTTCAGAAAATTAAATATTATTATAATACTTAATTACTGTCATTATTGTCTTCTTCGTCATCATCATCATCATTACGAACAAACTAAATTCAACTGCTCATATGACAGAGTTAAAATGTTAAACGAAGGTAAAGCCTACATGCTAGGCTCTGTTTGAAATTGACACATGCAGCGTAAACATGTAGCATATCAAACAATACATTGCAAAACTTGGTACTTGACCCCTTTTCTTTCGGTTAATTCTTTATAGAGTGTTGTTCCAGTTTTGTCAAGTTTTATGATGTGCCATATTATCCCATTTACCTATTGTATATGGGAACCCATCCATCCATCCGATGAATAAACTTATTAAATCTAAAAGTAAATCGAAATTAAAAAGTAATTGCATGTATGTACTCAAATTTGGCCGTTTATTGTGATATGAGTGTGTACTGGGGCTAACAGTTAAGTATTATAGATATAAATAATCTCGCAGATTTTCCAGTAGATATTGGTTTAAAGGTTTATGAACTTGTATCTTTGATATAACGGTTTCTTGTTGGGAACTTTTAAACCGATAACATAATTATAATTGTGATTTTGGCAGTTATGATTATTTTAAGATCTTTATTATGTTTTTCAGATGTACCTAGATGAACACGAAAATGCTGTTGATAATATTAGCCATAGTGTACAAACTCAAATGGCATTAGTACTGATGCTTTCCCATAAAATAAGTAACATTGTTAGCATTAAAGGTATATAGCAATATACTTAATTGCTTGTTTCGCCTAGATTGATTATGACATTTGAAAAGACAACAAGATTTACAAACTGGAATTGCAGTATGCATAACAAAAAAATGCTGTCGGCAAGAAATATAATAACAAAATAAAAATTTGATTTAGATAGTAAAATGGATAAGATCAATTATCCGTTATATATCATTTTGAAATTTTCTCCTAAAATCTTATTTAAAACTTATTACACTCGTTTAAAATAATGAAACTCTGAAACAAACGTCGTAAAAACGTCACATTTTGAGCATTACAGACCAGTAATTTAATTGAGCTTGAGCCCTGCTCGTGAAACTTGTGTCAGCTGGAATCAAAACAACTAATTTTCAGATTTTAATTACATTATAAGATATTCCAACTGCATGTATGTCTTGACAGTTAACCATTTTTTAATATTCTTTTTCCCTTAGAAATAGACGGACAAGTAAAAAAGAATGATTGTCCAGTAGCAGCAGTTACTTGTTTGCACTGTACAAGTGAATGGCAAGACTACACAGACAGACTTCTTAGGAGTGTGCAGGTCAATATAACATCGTTCTGTTTGATATATTTTAAATTCATTTAAGGTCATAAATATGCTTAATATCCTTGTAAAGGCATTGATCACATCTGAGAACCCTACCTTCTGAACGTTCTCTTTGTTTTCATATAGAAATATAGTCCAAATGGAAACTGTCTATTAAGAATATTTATTTATTTTAATATTTTTACTTTTCTTACTTTGCATGTTTTCAATAGATAAAATTAAAATTTTTGAACATTTAAAAGTTTTAGTCACCTATTCGTGTAATTATCCAAACCTTTAAGCAAGTAACTCAAATTCAAGAACATACATTAACACAAAAACAACCGAGGATATTTGTTTAGTCAAGAGTAAGATTGGAATATATTTCACCGAGTGAGCACCAAAAGGTACATTTCACGAGTGGCGCAGCCACGAGTAAAATATGAACTTTTGGTGTTCACGAATAACCTTGTGTAGCTGATTCAATTTATATTTAAATGATCAATCTTATTATTATTGTATTGTATTGATATAATAAAGAAACTGATCGACAATAATGCTTCTCATTCTAAATGCCGATTTAAATATTTTTCAGTCATCTTTGCACTGCGAAAGTAAATCTTTGAAAACTTCATTTGAGAGGTTGAAGTTATATGTACAACACACAATAAAAGACTATTACAAGATTGAAGCTGTCACTTCTTTTGGCAAGGAAAACTTATGTGATGGATATAAAGGTTCACCAACGACAGATACTCAGGCCGCTAACATAAATTCCCGATCGGATGTGAAAACTTCAGAAAATACAAAATATGCCAATCAACTTGAAGAAGTAACAAAAAATCATGAACAATACAAAATGAAAGCTGAAGAAAAATTGCAAATTTTGCAAGAGAAAAAGGAGAGTTTGGAAATAACTATAAAAGAGATTCAGAAAAATAACGAAGGCCTAGAACATCAGATACAAGTTCTACAAAGCAATATTAAAGAGTTACAAACGAAAACGATTGCACTGGAAGAGGATATGAACAGATCAAAGCAGACAAGTAAGTGCTGATACTTTGGTTATATTTTTTAAAGTGCAGAATATGTGAAATATGACTCACATGAAGTATTGATTCATAGATAAGTGAAGAAGACTGTGTGGAAATAAATTACAAAACAAATTTATTACATGCTTTTCGGTGGTTTAAAGAAATATATCAGTGATATAAAAACTGGTAATTTCACTGTTTGAAACCCCTTTTAAGCCCCTTACGTTGTTTCAATGAAATACCGTATAAGTAGTTATTTCTGCGGGCTTAATATTCTGCGATTTTGGTTAAAATAAGGGGTTTTAAATTTCTGCGTATCTTATTTCTTCGGTGTCATCATTCTCGCATTGATGCTTTTTATTTCTGCGTTTTAATTAAGATATTTTTATTTTTTACAAAATTAACCGATACAAACAGAAAACTTTTAAGTGTAACACTGCATGTGTATAAATATGAAGTGTGAAAAATGAACAATGGTAACATCGCACGTAGACACAATATATTGTACAAATACAAAAGGGTATGTTTATTGCACCCCTCAAACTTTAATAGTATTATTTTAAAATAAACCAAGCTTAGGGTGAGCGAAAATCACACAAAAAGAACAAGTAAAGTAACTTTTTTTCTAATATTTTATTTCATGACGGATACATAAAGAAAAATTCCCATCTACGGTACATGATAATGTAATTACACAAAATAGGTAGTTGACATATTCCGACATACATGTAGACATAGCGAAAGGCTTAATTTTCTGCGGTTTTTAAATCTTCGGTGTCGATATAAACCGCAGAAATAGCAGAAATAAAGTTCCCGCAGAAAAAAGTACTTATACGGTACCAGCGTGCACAGTACTGGGTACCAACTAAATGACGTGACGTCGTAAATGACGTCACGTTGTATTATAATTTGGCGCACTTTTCATTCAGTATATTAGATTTAATGTCTTTTTAAAACGTTTTTTTGCATATAATAAAAAGAAAATTTGTTTAGTTTAGTGTAAGATCGAAATATATTTCACCTTGTGAACACCAAAAGTTCATATTTCACTCGTGGCTGCGCCACTCGTGAAATATACCTTTTGGTGCTCACTCGGTGAAATATATTCCGATCTTACACTGAACTAAACAAATATCCTCTATTTAATTGCGAGACTTACAATATAGAAAAGTCAGTTAAGTTAAAGACATTTTAAACAACTTTATTGTATTTATAATGATGAAATAATAAAAGCTGTTATCCCACACATTGTAGTTTGAACGCTGTTTTTTTTAAATATTAAAATGTGATCAAACGATAAAATTGCACCACAGGCTCGTACAATTATACGGAACTATTTGATATATATTTGCATGTCTTGTCAGTCGAAACACAACATCTATGTAAAGTGTTTGCATTGTTTATACTGCTGTTATTTTAAACGGTTGCACCGTTTTGTTTTGTAAATATTGACTTAAATTTTAGGCACACAAGTTTAACTGAATGCAAGTAGATCAGGTAGTTGCGGGAACTAGAACAATTGTGCGCTTAGTATGTTTTATGTTTTTATTCTGCAATAGATTGCAGCTCAATATATCATTACGGTAACGGCTATAAAAAGAGACAAAAATAAATATCTTGGTAATCCGGTTTAAAACCGACATTTCTATTATAATAGTAAGTTCGATCTGCATCAAACTGATTTTCTCGCTACTTGTTAACGGTTGACATAATACGAGTGTTTATATCAGTGTTTAGTGAAACATATCAACTGTAAGGTTACAGTTACCTCATGGAAACTGCTTATAACTGTAAACAAATATGTTCATTTTTGTGGGAGAGTAGCTTTAAGTCATGGGTGCGGTCATAAGCGGTGACCGAATGATATCGTCAACGTATGTCTCGTGATCACTCATCCTAGTTCTACTTCTTTGGTCATTAGAATGGAATTTACATCGAATGCTATTTTATTTTGCTTAATTCTAGTTACAGTTCAGTTATTTCATAACCTAAAAGGAGGCATGATTTCTACATTATTGTACGAGCTTAAATCGATGCTTGCAACCCAACTGAACATGAAAAGACACGAAGTGCAGTTTGTTTTATGTCAGTCAGAGACGGACGTAAATCCTCAAATACCTGTTTTTGTGTTCTGCATCAATAGTTCACGATTGGGAACAGACGCTGGACTGGCAATACAAAATTTAAAAGGTATAACGTTTAAAGTATTATAGATTAAATGTCTTTACAAATTTCCTAGGATGTGATTTGCTTTCAAGTTGCGAGAAGAAACACTCATTATGCTATACAAAATCATCCATCAACTTGAGGAGAACGTTATCGGCCATTTTTTAACACCATCTAAACCCAGACCAAGGTCGGCACACACTACCCGATTCCTGCAGTATTCAACAACGTCCACTACTTGACGTTATGAAGTTCAAGTTTCATTTCTCTTTGTATTCCTCTGTGAAACAACCTGCCAGTATCTGTTGATGAGGCTCAATCTTTCAAGAATAAGCTGTCTAACATAGCCTTCTAAAGAGGACTTTCATGCACAGTTACCTAGTACCGCCAATTGAAAGGCTTGAGCTATGCCAGCAGGGTCTCGAACCTGGGCACCGCCACAGAAGCTGGGTTGGTCTGAAAAATAACTGTGTACAGCTATTTTCTTCTACTTCATTTCTTTTAAACTTTTTTGTTGCAAAAACTGTGTCCGTGTCTTTATTCTGTCTATCCTATTTTATTTCCCTTTTGTCTTTTTTCTTGTGAACTGTGAAAGAAATGTCAAGTTTGACAGTTTAATGTACATAGAACACTAACATTTTATTTACATTTAATTTATAACACACAGGCGTGTATCAGCAACTTAACTACGGTACAAATATTCCATTTTATACAGAATAATGAAATAAAAAAGGCTGATGTATTTTTCATCAGATCATGTTTTGCTGTTTGATTTCTTTTTCTTCATTATAGTGAAAAGATAATAAGATGTTATGTCTGCGATCTTTTAGTACATTGGTTGATTGACTTACTGCCATTTTAGCAATGATGGCCTATAATTATTGTATTGTAAATGTACATTTGTTTTTGTTTTGTTCTATTTTAAGTGTCATCTAAAATGTCCATATTAATATTCCACCACAAAGACGTTCATGCATTACCAAATCAGGCAAGTGAGAGAGTACTAACAGAACCGGAGTTCAAAGGTCTAGGAGGAATTTTTGATATAGGATTTCTTTCTGGAAAGGGAATATATGCATGTGACATGAACCGTGCTGCTTCAGCTGGCATTGAAAGTTTTCTTAGAGCAGCACAGAGCTAGAAAATAACCAGCTAGTGAAGGATTTTTTACGGACAATCGCATTGTTTTGACGTGCCATTTGGTTTGAAACAACTATGTATATGCAATCATAATTATTATGGTGTAAATTTTATCTGCGAAAATATTTGCATGAATTTGCTTCATTTTCATAAATGATCTTTCATTTCAAAATATTTTTTTTTGGTAACGGGTTGACAGGTAACATTTTATAGTTAATGATTTTTTTGTCATTATAACTTGAAGTGTTCAAACTTTATATAATAGAGGACCAATTTCACTTTTTTTAACATTGTTACATATGCATTTTATACTAAAATGTATAAAAAGTTAAGGTTTAAGGTTTATGATTATTTTGTCAATATGAGAAGTATTCAAACTTAATAAAGTCGAGGATCAATTTCATTCTTTTTCGACACTGTTATAAATAAACTGTATAGTAAAACGTATAAAATGTTCATTTACAAGTAAATGATTATTATGTCAATATGAGAAATGTTCAAACCTGACATAGTTGTGGACCAATGCCATTTTTTCTTTCGATACTGGTATATATATACATTGTATAGTCAAATGTATAAAATGTAAGTTTCTATTTTGTCAATATGAGAAGTCCAAAGTTTATATACTCGAGGACCAATTTCATTCTTTTTCCATACTGGTATATACATATGTATATACATTGTATAGTCAAATTTGTGAAATGTTAAAGTTTATGACTATTTTGTCAATATGAGAAGTTTTCAAATGTTACATAGTAGAGGACCAATTTCATTTTTTTCGTATATATATTTAATCGAATGTATAAACATGTGAATCAAATACATATATATATTATAAATAATTTGTGTTTTCTTATTAATTGTTTATTGATATTTTATTGAAAATTTCAAAAATAATGTTATTGAATGCAGTAAAAATATGGAAAAAGGGTGATCCCTCAGAAGCTATGAAAACAACAGTTTTAGATTAAAGATTGCTCTGTTTGATTGAATCTGCTCATGAGAGATAATTTTATGGTGCAGCATCATTCATTCTCCGAAGCACCGGCTAAATCTATATTAAATATTCATACACTAATAGGGGGAAGTAAAGGATGGAATATAAAAAGATATAAGAGTGTTTTCCAAAGGCACTTGCTGCAGAATCTTAGAATTTAAAGGAACATGTATGCCTAAAGATAAATTTTCCTTTTAGAAAAGACAAATATGTGTTCAATGATTATTTAATTCATAGATTTATATCATGTTAGCTGCTTATCACGTAATACTTGGAAATGAGCCATAAAAGTTGCAAAACGCAAACAATGAGATTTCTGTTTGTGTACATTATGCTTAGTCATTATACCTTAACTAATGACTACAAAGCTAAGTATGGTACTGCTATATGGCCAATGAGTTTAAATTCGGAAATTGTAAAAAATCAAGAGTAAAAAAATACTTTTGAGAAATAAAGACTTAATCTGTCTTCAAAAGTAATACACGTGTTTCATTGAAGCTAAGAACTCAAATGAACTTGAACAACATTTTGTATTCTTTTTATTCCTCTTCCATAACCCCAAGCAAAATTAAATGACACCTGAACATATTTAGTTGTCAATGACAGAGATTATATAAGTAACATTAATCATCGGGTTGAAAGAAATGATATGAATATTGGGTAACATTTTTGCAGCAGGTCTTTCAATCAAAACGAATTCCATACGTGATATACATATGCCTTTGTACTAATGAAAAACCAAAAATATCAAATATATCCTTATCACGGACTTGTATATTTCCAGGTTTTTAATACTAAATGAATTTATGTGTATTACACGGACCCAATGGATAACACTGTAAAGAAGAAATGGACAATACGTTTTATACCATCTACATTGCACATGCTAGTCTAATTTTAGTGTTGACCTGTTATGCCGTATTTTCATTTGCGACCTTTGCGCAAAACAGTTAATTGTCTTGCTGAAGCTGTGATAGCTATAAGAAAGAAATATAAATATGTTATCAGTTTTGTTGAATCCGTCCTCTATATGTGTCCTATTTATATACCTCCAAAATTCGCTCCAATACTAGATGCAGCATCATTGAGTTTTATAGAATTAAACATTGCTTTTTTGCGTCAGAATTGCCTTGAATTCAAGAACCGCTCTGGTTGAGTTTGGTAATCCATGGATGTCTTTTAAATGAAATCTTAGGATGACAACTTTGATGATACTGAAAATAACTTTGACAATAAATATCCAAGCTTCTTTACATTAAAATAAAAAATAAAGAAAAATAACAAAATAATGGTATCACTATATTCTCTATTTCTATTTTACGCCCTAAACAACAAATTTGAGTAAAAGCGTTATAGGATTTCTATTACGTATCTGTCCAATCTACATATTTTCATTTAAAAATGTCGCTTTTCTATAAGACATTTTAAGGGTGATTTATGATAATTTTTCATCTTTTATTTGGTGCCTACGTACATAGTGTACGTAAAACACATAAAATAAGCTCGATTTCCGAAATAGTTTAAAATAAAATTGATTTTCAATAAAAGAAGCAGCAGCAACAACAATAACAACATTGATAACCATTAATAACCACATACATCAATGAAATAGTTGTATGAAGTGTGAAAGACCTTTGCTACTTGAGTCTATAAATATTCTCCTGAGCACTGAAAATAACGTTGAAGTGTGTCTTGCCAATTTCCTTAATAATGCATGCCCTACTTTATGAAAAGGACAACTACCCAAATGAAATGTCCTGGTATACCTAAAATGTGGAATTTTTCGAATTTTGCCACTAATATACTGTGTGCAAAATAATACTTTATGAAAAGAATCATCCCCATATATTGCCTGTAAAATTGTAAAATAAACATAATATGATAATATATGGCATACAACTTTGTTTTAAGTACATGTTCTATATTTTCTCTTTTTCTTTCTGAAAGTTTGACAGGCGTTAGTACATGTAGTATTGGATAATATATAAAAATAATTACAGTTCCTTTATTTATATCTGGGAACATGCATAAGAACGCTCTGCGTTTGCACTGTTTTGTTCTTTTAAATCATGTCATTATTCGTGCAGCTCTTGAATAGGGTTCAAAGAGACTAATTAAATTTAAAAGAAAGTCCACTCAATGTCCATTATATGTCAACAACCCCTTTCTAATAATCATCAATTATATAATTTATGAAGAAATAATTTTCACAAACACCCCATTTTTCTAACATAAGAGTGTTCTAATTGTTATTCTGTCCATTTCATACGGACTTAAACTATAACAAAGAAAGACATACGTAAAGCAAATGCGCAAATCCTTAATATCATTCGGATTCCAATTTTCTCTAAAACTTACAGCTCAAATTCGAGTATACGTTACAATTTATCCAAAGGAATGTAGCCAATAATTGTTGTTGTATTGTTTGCCATTACCAAAGGGAAAATTCAATACAATAATCAACAAGAAAAGCATTGATGCAAAGCATCAAAGGGCGTCCAAGCAAGAAATAAGAAAGTGAAGATGAACTAGTAGACATATGATGTCAAGATATTCTTATAAACTTTTCAATGGTTAATTGGTTTTTACCAAAATGAACGGACGGAAGACATTGTTCATTATGAACTTTGATTGGCAACGGATATACATGTATACAATCATTTATCATCCATACCCATGTGTAACGCATGATCAACACCACACTTGTGGAATTGTCCCTTATTATGTATTCGCTATTAGCGAAGACCCCCTCTTAAGGTATCTGTTCACACTTAGTAAAAATATGACACTGGTTATATTACCATGTCATGTTGAGCATTATTGTTTATTATACAATAATTGTAATATCTATTTTAATAACAAAAAAATTAATACAGATTTTATGAATATTGTTTTCCTCTCTCTTTTTGTGTTTTTATGTGCTATTTTAATACTGAGTTTTTTACGTTTACTATTCTTTTTTTATTAAAATTGTAAAGTAAATTTTAAGAATTCAAATGTCATATTGACCGACGATTATAAGTCAA